CCGTCGCTGCAGAAGGCAAAAAAATGAGCATGAAAAACAGGGTAAAACAAAGGGAAAACGGGGAAAAACCGAGGAGAAAACTAAGTTATTAGCACCAACTGTGCTCGGGCGATGGGCGTTTTGGTTGTTGTGGGCGTGGTCCCTGCACTTGTAGTTTATGTTTACTGCATTCTGTGTGCAAACGTGCGGCAACAATTTTTGGGCCACCCTACGCGGCCATTGTCGTTATTCTGACCAGCGACAGTATATGATTTGAACAGAGAAGGAATACTGAATTTAAGAAATAAATGTTAGTAATCACTGCCTAGAATATGGCAAAACAATCTAAAACCGATGTACCTTTAAAGTTAATAATCCATGAATCGATTGTTTGGCACAGTCCTATAATACTACCATGCATTCAATAAACAAAATATAAACCACTGCCTTAAATATTTCATAAGCATCTCTAAAGATTGGTTCCACAACCCAATCCCAAACAATTTTTAAGTTAATACTCCGTAATTTTATTATTTTGAACATCCCCAATAACACAATCATGTAGAAAGGCAAACTTTCAGGACTTGTTTTTCCTCTGCCTGCGTAATATTTATTATTTTTGCACTTTGTGGCAAAATATTTGCGGCCACTGGTATTAGCATTTTATTTTATTTGTACAAATGTTCTTCCCTATTTACTTTGGCCAAGTTTACCCAATTGTGTATCTGTTTGTCCACAACTCGTTTGGGGCAATTTCCAATGTCGGTATGGAGTAGTAGTCGATGGATATTGCCTTTGTTGCCGCCTTTGTAAACACACTCGACCTTTAGTTGGGGGAAGGGAATGGAGAACCTTTTGGCAGAGCCGTGTCTTGGCACGCCAGCACCTTGTCATACACACCGCCCCCTGTGACCCGACCGGGCCTAATAAAAATAAATAGCCATATAAAGGCGAAAGAAAATTCATGGCAACGCCTGGCGATACAATAAAGCATATTATTTCAGCATTTATTTCCCCGTCTCCATCCAGACAGCCATTTGGCAGTGCTAAAGTGTTTTTCCACTCGCAGTCGGAATCGAATGTTGGCACCACTCCGCCGGCTAATGAGTGCAAGAGCTACGTGATTTACTCGGATCTCGGGTGCCTAGGAGCTGAGAAGCCCAGTATCCCCAGATCCCCGGATCCCAGTCACTCAGAATGCATCTGAAAGGGCGTTTGTTTCCAGCTCATTAGAGTTCGCTGCCTGTGAATCTCCATTACCGGCAGATAATTCCTGGCGGGGAAGGGCCCTTGCTGTCTCTTCGCAAAACACAAATGCTTATTTATGCCCGAGATTGCTCGAGTCCTTGGCAAAGTCCTTGTTGGTTATTTACTCTGCAGGAGCACTTCGACTCCACTCGAGTCGAATGCATCCGGCTGAGAGGAATCGAAATGTATTGATTTATGGCTGCAACTGAGCGAGTGGCAGGACAGCCCAAGGTGGAAAGTTTGTCCTGTATCCAGAGTCCTGCGTCCCGTCCCGAATCCTTCAGCTGCCATTGCGACTTCGACTGTGGCCAGCTGAAAGTTCAGCCAAGTGAACTGGCCGTGGCCGGAGTTCGGTCATTGATAAGTCATAAGTTGCTCCCCATCTGGACACAAGTGCTCCAGAGAGTCCGAGTTGCGTCACAAAGTTTGTCAAAGTCAAACACAAAGTTTTCCCGCTGGTTGGAAAATGCCAATGGCTTAGATATTAGCAGTGCATTAGTTGCCAGTGCATTATTAATGACCAGCTGGGCATTGATTTTTACACTTGCTCGCTTGACAGCTCTGTTTTTTCCGCCTTTTGTTTTTCGTTTACCGCCCCATCAATATTAATTGAGTTGATTGAACGGATGAACACGAAAAGGCTTTCCGCTCGGAATCGAATAACGTTTGCACTCGGAGAAATGTCAATAAATTCTCCTTAAACGTACATAAAAACCAAACATTTAATGGCACTTAAGAAGATATTTTTGGATGCATTTTAAAAAGGCATTTTTGGAATCTTGTAAATCATCTTCCAAGAAGATATTTATTGTGGTGATTCTGACAAAAAATAAGAACAGTATTTATAACTATTAAAAATTTATAAAAACATTAAACAGAATTTAAATTTTATGTTCAATTTAAGATCTGTTGTATTTTCTGAGTGTTGCCTTTGTTAAAAAATATTGTAAAATTAAAATACCAAATGTAAGAGTGAAGAAATTTCCAAATTCCATATCCTTAAATTTTCTGAGTGCTGGCCGCCTTTCGCCCGCCCCTTTGTTAACCCAGATATTGATAACTTTTCACATTAACTGTGCCGCGTGACCCCGTGACCTGTTGCATGTTCGCCCGTGCAGTTAATTACTTTGATTTATTTGAGAGTTACACACATGCGTGGTCCGCCTGTCACATATTTCAAATCGCGCTTAATTACAGCGCCGTGTACTTACAAATTAACAAAATTACCCGGCCCGCAGATAAGCCCACCCACTCGGCCGCAAATTTATTACAAATTTCAACTAAGCTAACAGCGGGCAATTCACCTGCCACTCGAGACTGGAAGCACTGGATTTATTGTTTCGTTAGACCAAAAATGAGGGCGATAAAAAGCTATAAAGCTACAGAGTGCTTAAGTGCGACATTTGCCAAGGAACTGGCCGAAGAGCAGAGACATCGATAGAAATCGATAAGCATCGGCAATAAATTGCCAACCAGAATTCAAATAAAGCCAAATGCCGGCTAATCTCCATTAGGCAAATACGTTGAGCTTACCGAAAATGTTGTGACCCATTTGGGGCCATTGTTGTTGTTATCTGGGGCGTGGGACGTGGGATATGCATGGGTTGTAGGTGGAAAGTACGTGGGCTTCGGGGTGGAAAAGGTCACTCTAAGTGCTTTTCATTGAGCACTGAACTGCGAACGGAAGCGGGCATAAACTTAATGGAATTTAGATTTCTTCATTACAGCAACAGGTGAAAGGAGCAGCGAAACGTGGCTTTTAGACCGACTTGATTACCTACACACATGAAAGAGATTCCAGATTTGGGTCTTTTAATATTTGGGTTCATTTTCATGGGATTATAAAGAGCCTTTGGCCCGGGGGCTAAATGTTCGAGCCCAACATCAATGGCAAATTGATTTGCTCTTGATAATTCGAAAAGGTAAACAGGATTAGCCCATATTTTTGGATAATTGCCAAGTTGGGGGAAGAACACATATAGGAAGCGGTTTAACCCGCTGGGAATTGATTGGAATGCACTGGAGCACGTGTCGTAAAAGTGTGTGCTCACTGTACAACATGAATAAATGGGAGCATACGTTCCCGCACTTATTATTTACATTCGGCTACAACATTGTCGCAGGATTCGAATGGCCAGTTGGCCAGTGAGGTCCTGACCCAGCCTGTGTGTACAGTACATGGGCACACAATCAAGGAGCCTCGTCCGCGTCCTTTGGCCCGGCCAAGTTTTATGCTGAGTAATGGCCACAGCCATAGCTACAGAGAGTGGCCGTAAAGAATCGCACTCGCAATCGCAATCGCACTCGCACTCGTAGTTTACATAACAGTTTTACGGCCAGCACTTAAATGCCATGCGAGTCATAAATGGCGGGCAGATATCAAGCATACGCCATGTTCGCCATGCTCGGTAACCAATCTTTTTGGCCCGATTGATATCCCTGCAGAAGCCCCAACTGCGAGTTCATCGAACCCTTTTTGGCAATGATCGCACTGCTGGTTGTACTGATGTTAATGACGATTCTGGCTGTTACATTGTGCGGGGCTAACACATACCGACCCGGACATAAGTTCCGGCCAGAACATGCACAACATCCGCCGACCAGCTTCCGCCTGGAATATTTACGCTCGGCTTCAGTCGCAGAAGTTCGTTATTAGAAAAGTTTTAATGTTCCTTCCAAACGCACAACAGCACTCCGAAAAAATGCTTCCCAAATTTGTTTGGGGAAACTAGCTTAAATTGGAGACCAAGAATTTATAGACGTAGTTTGAGGAATTATTTGTAGTAGATTTATAGTCTGAAATTTGTGAAGTTTCTGAGAAGAAACAATATTGCATAATAAGTTCATATTGGAGATGGTCTAGTGAAAATGTATCTTTATAATTTGTTACATTTTATTGAGCTAATTTAAATATATTTTTTTGAGTGCTTGCATGCAAGTTACATTTGGCAAGAGGACCTTCCCTGGGCAGCCACATATATGAGCTTGACAAACGACTGGCAATGATCTGCTGTTGCCACTTAACAAGCTCCATTTGCGCCAGCCGCAAAAATAAGGCGACCTTCGGTTTGTTGGCTTTTAATTTGCCATCGAAGGATTCCGCTTGACTGGGCAGCAAAGTTTGAGGCTGCCTCAGAGACGTCATCACCGGACTGGTGGGCCGAAATTTACATAACTGAAAAAATATTGTGCGGGCGGGCCTAAACGAGGCACAAACGCCGCCCTGCGGCTTTCCACTTGCCGCCCTGCTTACAAGCATTTTTAAAGCGGTTTCCCCCTGGCTCTCCTTTTTTTCGGGGAGCGAAAGCAGATGTAAAACTTTGGCAAAGAAAAAATGCCAAAGCATAAAAAAAGATGGAAGGAAAATATGAATAAGCCGTGCATGAGGCAGCCTTCTAGGCAAATGTGTTTAACATGGGCGGCGGGCTTTCCACTCTTTGGCTTTGAAAAGGGGACAGAAAAAACAACATTGGCCAGAAAGTTAAAAGGTGGCCCTGGGCCACATACCAACGACACATGGCCGGAATCCAACATAAATGTGGCTCGGGAACACGTGGCGGCCATAACTGGTTCCGACTTCATCGATATTTCATTTAACCCTTTAATAAAAGATATGTCAGGCGAACTTACTTCATAACTTGTCACCGGCCCTCGATATTCTCCCAGGCGGCCAAGAAGGAGTTAGGGCAGTTCGGGGAAAGTTTTGGGAGCCTCCAAATTTAGCCGCTAGCAAATTGAAATTGATTACCAAAGCAAAACAATTGAGCGGTATGTATTTTTTGTGGCGATGAAGCGGAGGGGTTGGGGCGCAATCCGAATGTTTATTTATACCAGGCATTTTGGGTTCGATCGGGGCCTATTTGCATAAGCGACCGACCAGCTTATTACACAATTTAATATGGAAATGACGCGCAGTGAACTTGAACCTTATTTGCTATCGAAGTTCAGCTGGTTTTCAGCTTGGTCTCCGCCGATTTCCGCTGCTTGCGTATGTAGGTTTTGTAATAGAAGTCGAAGAACATGGAGAACATGAAGATGTTCTGGATGAATCCGATGAAGGCGATGAAGACGGGGAACTGGCAGGGATTCCGGACGATCACGAGCAGGAAATGGCAGGTGAGGTAGCCGAACTGCATCAGCTGGAGCTGCGTGATCCCTGTTTCCACCACAGAAGGTTCTTCACGGCTCCCAAGGAGGCGGCATAGTAGTAGGCATACATCACCGTGTGCACCAGGAGATTGATGATCCCCAGCATGGTGCAGTGCGAGCCGCCCAAAAAGGTCATGAAGATGGACACCCCGAAGACCATGCCGCCGTGGTGGTAGACATGCAGGAAGCTCACCTGCGAGTTCTTCTTCCTTAGTACTATGAAAACCTTTGGAAAGAACTTGAAAGTTGAGATAGTTTCCTATATCGAAGCGTACCTACTAACCGTATCTAGGAGATCCAAATACTTGAGCATATAGTACGCATACGAGGCATACAGGGTATTCATCATGGCCGGCGAGGTGTCCTTGTGATCCACCGGCTGGCAGGTCCAACTGTATCCCGGTTGCAGGTAGGTGTTGGTCAGGCCTATGTAGAATATGGTGGCATTGGTCAGCACCTGCACCACATTGTACACCTGCATCACCCGCTTCAGCTCGAAGGGATTCCGGTGTTCCATCCAACGTGGCCGTAGTGGAGTACAAAGGCCACATAGGCCGCCACAATGGCCAGCACGATCCACAAGTTGCCCAGCAAGGGCAAATGGGCCACTCGTGGATCCCCGTGCTCGGCGTACAGATCCCTGACCAGGCAGTACAGGTAGGCCACCATGTTGTGCCTCATCCTGATTTCGATTCAGTAATACTCGTTGCCGAACAGCCGGAAAGCGAATTGCGGCCCACGAAGGTCTTCAGTCTTCTGAACGCAACTGCTCGAGAATCCGGTATTCCGAGCATGCCGGCTGGCTATGTTAATGACCGATAAATGGAAAGCACCACGCACGCCCGATTAACCCGAGTCAGGCGTTGCACCGCCAGAGAGAATGCGTTCATTGTCAACGGTCTAAAACTTGGAATACCTTAAGTTTTACGCTCAAAGAACACTGAGGAAAATATTGGGGATCTTGAAAACTAACTACTCAAAAATCTGCGCAGAGTTGGAATGAAAAATCTTGGCAACAGGCTTACTTCTAAATATTTAATGTAAGGTATCTATAGAAGCAGCAAATTTTGTATATTGCACAAAGAATACTTAGGGAAGTTAACTACATATGATCCTAAAAATGAATTATTTAAAATCTAAGAAAGGTTTTACCCACTTTAGAATGTTGATGTAAATAAAAATATATAATGGGTGAATTAACATCTTTCTCTTCTTTTTATTGCCAGATTTTTGCATTCTAGAACCGTAAAAACCGTAGCTGTTCAGTTAAGTGAAGAAAGAGCCTTTTATCTCTTCCAAAAAACATCTGCCAAATTTTCTGCAACATTTTTTCTTTATCTCCATGAACTTGTGCCTGTCAGGGGGTAAACAGGGTTTAGCTATTACTTGACAATGTATGAGAATTTATGGGCTATAACCAGCCGCTGCGAAACTTTGCTGAGTGGGAAAAAATGATGTTACAGCGGGCAAAAGTGGGCGGGGGGGGCGGTGGGTGGTGACATCAATTTGGGTTACTCAACGTTAATCGTTTGGCTCGCAGCTTGCGGCTGCGAGATATATGCAACTAACCCAGTTTACAAAGCATGCCAATAAATTTGCAGCATAACTGCCAATATAAGCGCAACTGTTTTGAAATTAAGCCAAAAGAGAACGGAAAAAGGGGCGGAAACGTCAGCTGCAGCATCCAGTATCCAGTATCCGGCATCCAGAATCCCAGTATCCACCAACCTCCGACCTCCGACCATCCACCATCTAGTATCCAACATCCAGTGACCCACTGAGCGACTCCGCCATGCTTGATAAATTCGCCAAGTCTGTACAATGGCTGTAAATAGCCGCGGGCATCGGACAAATGGCCCTTAAAAACAACAGCAGGAGGAGCTGAAGAGCTGGAGGATCTGGAGGAGGAAGGTTCTGGCAAAGCCAACTCAGCGAAATAGGCAAAAGTGTTTTACGACCTGGCTTGAAGCGAAAAACCGAGGGCCATGCAAAGGAGCGGGCTGCAGGTGGCCAATCAAACTGAAGCCAGGTGCAATTTGTTTGCGCAACGTGCAAACTTGGCTAGCATTTTGTGGTCGAAAGTTTGCAGTTCTCTCGAGTTTATTTCGATAAGTAAATGTGCCAATTTATAGGGGAGAATCAATCAAGGGCAGTACTATACGTACACCCAGCCTTATTGGCCATTAAACGAAGGCAGGTGGACTAAGTCAGGCGAGGCCGTTTCACTTACTTTCACTCGTGTCCTTAAGCTGCAATTGATGCGTGTGTTGTTGTGTGTGTGTGTGTGCAGGACATACACTGGTGTCCTTGGGGCTCCTGCGGTGACCTTGTTGTGCGGCAGACATTGAGCCAGCCAGCGCCAAAACAATCATTTGCATTTCACCTCCCCACGGACAATGTAATGGACGTCAGCTCATTTGCACAAATAAGCCATAACCGTCGCACGCTCCCCTCCGATTGGCGGCCATTTTCGGAACTTGATGGCAGGACGAAGGATGGCAGGACGTCAGGACTTCAGGACCAAGGAGCAAGGAGCCAGTGCTGTTGCAATAACGGTAATGGCCGCGGTAACGACAACAGCAAACAACAGAAATAATAATGATAATCATTTTGCGCGCACCGGAAGTATGCAAATATACGGCTCGAAGGACCCAAGACGAAGGATGCGGATACGCGGAAGTGCGGATGTGCGGCTATACGACTGTGCGGAGTTACCCGGCCAAAGGAAAAAACCCTGGCCTTAACAGGTCGCCCTGAAAATTAAAAGTCCGCCACGAATGAAGCGTTAATGAAGGCGAGTAAGTAAACAGTTTTCGGGGCGACAGCATAAATATGAAAACGCGAATGAGACCTCGGCCACGCCCCCTTATGTTCTCTAATATACATACATATATAGCCTTCTGTGTCGTTGGCCCTGGCATGAAATGAAAATAATAATCTCTTTGGCCAGGAAATGAAGGGAAATTCAACAGGAAACTTTTGTGACGTGCCGCAAACAGTCCGTGCAAACACAAACACACACACACACTCGGAGACTGTTAGTGTGGGTGTTTGTATTTAAATGGAAAAGCCCAACACAAACACAAGGCGACCAACACTCATGCAGGTGTTAAACTGCGCCGCGTCTCTTTGTGTGAGTTGCCAATGCAAATTACAGTCATTTGGCCTGATATTTTTTCCCCCCGACTTCCTCGGGAATTTTATTTAAAAACGCTGAAAAATATATAGTGCTTTCGGCGGATGGGAAAATGCCCGCCGATTTTTTCCGCCAGTTGCCGCTGCCCAGTGTCAATGGCATTGTTGCTTGGCACGCACTAGCACTGCGAAAAAAAAATTATATCAATTTTTGTTCGTTAGATGGATTGAAAATTTAACCAAAAAAATGTCTCTTTAAAGGTTTCCATTAATATTATTTTCTGGTTGTATTTTCTTATTGAAAGAATTCTTTATCACTTCTTTTGTCAAACTATCTGTGTTTTTTCAGGGTTCGAAGTAGAAATGCGTGGCTTCTGGCTTTAAAAGGTTTTTCATTATAGATGTGACAGATAAGGGATACATTAACATTATTAACCACTTTAAATTAAATGAATAATAACTGATTTGAATTGATACATTTAATTAAATATTTTTGAATACATTTTTTGTCAAACATACTTTTTTTATATGATTGAAATGGAAATACAGAGCTCTATTCTGATTTAAAAAGGGTTTTCATCAAATGTACTAAAAAAGAGACACAAGGATTGCAGAAAATTGTCGGGGTTGCATTACCTTTTGAGAACCGGTTTTTATAAGCACCCTCTTTTATTTCCCATTTTAAGTAAATGAATCCATATTGTTTTTTCCGGTGCACCTGCCATTGTGCCACCTGTTCTGACCACGTCGCACTCTCCACAGGAACAGCAATAAAAGTTTATGCGCACTCATTATGCGCCCCACTGCCCAACCGCCCAAAACATTGCACCTCCGAGGACTGTCATTAGTACATAGTGCATAATTTTCGGGACAGCCGACAATCTGTGCTCTGAAGGCCCGTAATTATCACCCCGGCAAGTGGATGGGCGATAATGGCTTGATTTTCAGCTGGGCAAAAGAAGGTAAATGGGTATTAATTATTATGATTATGGACGGTCCGAAGACACTCGTTATTGGCCTTCGGATTGGCATTGGCATGGCACATGGCGCATTCTTGGAACCATTACCTCCCCTTTTATTTTGGCAGCTCGGCTCGTTCAAGCGGAATTTGGCAAATGCCGAAAACTTCAAGGGTATTATATAAATGTTGGCCCTGGCCATGTCTTCTAAGCATATTTTGAATGCCAAGCAAATCCACATCGCGCCACTCCACTCCACATTTGCCCCATGTTTTAGCCATGAAAGTCACTTCCAAAGTTCAAGTCAATGTCGCAAAATGTTAACGGCGCGTTAATAATGCGATTAGTGGATGCTACAGACCCATTCCGATCCAGCGACCCGGCTACCCAGCTACCAACTCCTGGGCTCCCCGACTTCCCTTCCAGAACCCGGGACCACATGTATCCCCTCTGGAGGAAGGAAAACACATTTGAATGCGACCGCCCATCTGAAGAAACATGGCGAAATTGGCTTTAATTGGTGAAATGGGGCGGTGGAGTGGAGGGACTTTGGGCCACAGAACATGAGTGCGGTACCGCCCTTGGTCCTTCCCGTTCTGGTGCTAATTAATAAATTTCTTGGGGATTTCATGCAGCGTCTTTTTCGGGTTGCCTGCCATAATTATCGCATGGCATCGCCCAGGGGACCCTATGCTAATATTCGAATTTATATGGGGTATATACAGAGACAGCGAGAGCTCCTATATGATCCTGCGAAATCCCCGCTAAGTGAAGCCTTCAATTACATTCGTCGGTGTTGCGCTGTCGGCGTCAATCCCCTGGTAATAGGATATTTTCAATTTCCATTTGCCCGCTCGTATATTTCGCAGTTTCGTATTTGTTTTAAGTTATGCGCCCAGACCCTCCAGGGGAATCGTTCATATTTTTTTCATCCCATCCCCGTCGAGCATATTTCATTGATACGATGCTCCCGAGGAGTCAGGGAAAAGTAACACGACAGGGGAGGATGTACATCTGGGCCTAGCTGAAATATTGTCAACTCAACCCGGCGAGAAGAGCTGCCACGGGCCGTATTGGTCACGTAATTGAGCCCTACTCCACGGGGTCTCGTCCAGTCGAGCCGCTTTCTGGGCAAAAGAAATAGGAGTAGGAATAGAAAATGAATTGTATGCACGGAAATATGACAAACAATCAAAACGAATTCGGAAAAACCGCAACACAAACCAACAAATGCGCCAGCTGAGCCAGAGATTTGTTTCCCCAGTAACCAGTAACTGGGGGTACGAGATGGTATGGATGGGACGGTGGGAATGGGTGATATGGGTAGTACATGCCCTACGAGTTAATGGAAATGGAGGCGCAGTCGGCGAGAGGCTGGAAAAATCCTGGACGCCTGGCAGAAACGACAACGACTACGGCGACGGCGTCTGATGGAAATTTATTGCTGGCAACATACCCAAAGGGATTCGCAAATATAATACTATAGTCGGAGCGTTGGAGCAGCGGCAACAATCCACTGAGAAAATGGGTATTCCAATATAGGATGATTTCTGGTATAAAAACTTTAGTTTATGATGATCTTGCCTTAAATACTATTCTAACGATTTATAATATGCTTTATGGTATTTAAAAATTTATAATAGATTAATTATTTTAAATGTTGTACTGCTCCTCAAACC